TATGTGACTCTGACACATGCTACGTTTCTTTTTTGCCTTTTGCCTTCCTGGAAATTTTCCAAGATGCACGCCGGCATTATGGCTCTCATGGCAATGCTACTCCCGACAAGTCCCCCACCCGAAGAGCAACTGCCAAGCAGATTGAATGCTGATTGTTTCATACAATGGAAAACCTGCTTAACATCAGCAGCACTCCTATAGTTGGAGGCACCTTCCAACACCTTCCCCGGGCCAATCATCACTGACATCATCGGAGCCCACCAAACTGAGACTCACCCACACGCGCATGCACTTGCACACATAGCATCAAAAATCAACAAGCAAGCACGGGGCATACATGCAAGATCACTTGATCACAAACATATCCAGTGAACACAGCAAACAAAGTCTGATTCTGAATCTTTACCAAAAACATCAACGGGACGACGGACTGGATTTTCTCAGAACAGTCCAGAGTTCTTGCACAGCACAAAACAAAAACGATGCTGYAAAGGTAACAGCTCCCCAAACAAAACACGCAAAGATAAAAAAAAAAGAATGTTCGGTGGTATTCCCTGCTATTTTCTTGCACGCAGGTTTTCATCTGCTCTCAGGCTCTTCTTTTTCTTATTGCGAAAGAAGCGGCGTATGATAGGGCAGTTCCTTATGCGTTTTCTTTCTTTTGTGCTTTTTTCTTTTTCTGTTTTTGCGGGCGAAGCCGCAACGGGTCATCTAGTATTAGTAGAGGTTATTGTTAGGGCATTAAGGTTTCAACTTCTCAAGGATAGTGCTTTCAGTTCTATAGTGTGTTTGGACTGGCGTGGATGTCGGTCGGACGACACTTGACATCATGAACTGAAGGTCGGAACATGAACCGACGTTCATCGTGAATGTGGTTCACTTTTGTTGATGGGATGCTGTTGTCAGGGTGTTAGGGGGGGGTTAGCTAGATGAGCTACTACCCTGCGACAGCCTGTAATTGGCTGATCCTCCAGCAGTCCTCACCCTTCTCCCTTTCCTTGAAGTCTGTACCATCTCGTGCTTTTCTCTAACATCTGGTAACCCTGAACTCCATCTGAATTCAGGAGGGTTTTTTTTTTTTTCGCATGGTTCAAAACTCTTATCTCACCATCCCCTTTCTTCCCGTTGTCATTTGCCGGACTCCAATAAATTTCAGCTCCAATCAATTTCAGCAATTAGCGCTCATCGAAACTTGGTTGGTGGAAAGCAAAATCACAATTGACAGAAATTTCACAACTTCACACCAGGCTTATATTCAATTTGGTGAATCACGCCAAAATGAGAAATGAGAAAAATTAATCTAGTGCCCTTAGGTACCTAGGCGTCCTGGAGCAACCTGCAATACACAGCACTGAAACATCACAGTATTGAGCCAGAACGCACTGGCTATCGCTGCGGACTCCCCATCAGGTGCTAAAAATAGCGCTCCTTCCTCTTCCTTTCATTTTCCGAACCGTATGAATGAAAAAGTTAGAAAAACTGAGAAGAGGAAGGAGTTCTATTTTTAGCACCTGAGTTGAAATTTGCTACTGACTAACTGCTTTTGTCAAAGTGATTTTCGCCTGGGCCTACTGGATCCTATCGAGGTCTGACCTAGAAGAATCCACCATTGTTTTTTGTTTTTAAAACTTTTTCCCTTTTTTTAAGTTTTTTAAAAGAAGAAGAATCTGCCATACTAAGTGTGTCCAGGAGCAGCTGATAGGGGCTCTAGCACACATCAGTAAAAGACAGCAAAAGTAGAAATAGTGCATGCTAACCTTGTACCATGTTGCTGATTGCTTTCAGATTTCTTCGAAAAAAATTCTGAGCACAAGAAATCTCCGAAGTTGGTGCACACAGCATTCCGCGCAAACCCACGGGCCTAACTCAGTTGGTACACCTATGAGCTGTTGAAATACAGGCCCAAGTTCGAATCCAGATGCAGTCAGATTAACGAAGTTATGTACTTCTGAATTACCTAGGGCCGGTCAGTTCAATGATGGTATCTCAAGGCCATCACCCTTTTTAACAAACATGTGGATGCCCACCGCAGACGCTGCGGAGACCATGAAGGGTAAAAAACACATGGACATTCCCAACATCAGGGACAGTTTGCTCCGTCTCCCGAGCAGGCAACACCAAGCCGGCTGAGCGGTATTCAGTGGCGTGGTTGATATCTTGGTGTATCTTTCCATGTTCTAGCACAAAATTCATTCTCATTTTTGCGAGGCGTCGAGCGAGACCCCATGCGGGCTGGCCAGCACAGGGCGTGTAGGTGGACGATGCCACGTCGTCAAGGTGGCAGAAACACCCCCCCCCCAAAAAAAAGGAAACACCCCTTGAACTTTGAAACACAGAGCCCGGGCGAGGTCCCACCACTCACGAAAAACAGAAAAGGCAAGCCTGTGTGGATCAACGGTGCGCTCATCGACTGTAGACATACACAGATAGTCCCCACCTTGCTATGTACTCGTATTCGAACTTGAGGTGCTCTTGTATTCGAACAAACGTCCAGGCGCGCGAACCCCACCCCACCGCCGGTGTCCGCAGAGCCCTCCCCTCCCCCCCACCCAAAGAAAAAAGGGAATCCGTAGCAAGCAGGTGCAGCTCCCCACCAATAGATGGAGCCTTCAACCGGGGACTCACTTAGGGAGGCTGCTCTTACCACCCCCCTAAGTGGTATCCGCGACTCGGAGTTCAAAAAAAAAAAAAAAACGGGAAAAAGGGCGACGAAAAGGGAGAACGAAGAACCTATCGTTTTGATCCGAAATTCGAGCTCTTCAGCTACACTCCGACGTCATTCTGTTTTGGGCTGATCTGCTATAGACTGCTATGTACTTGTACAAACATTGAAGCACGCGAACTTCCTCCCCTGCCTCCGTGGGGCCACCGAAACAGAACTGCGGGAGGAGGGCAGATTCGACCTCGAGTTTGCAAACGTATGCGAAACGGGCTCACCGAACCTATACGCCATGTTGGGGGGTCTTACTACTGTCCTTGGACACGAGTCTACGTCTCGTTGGAATGGACGGGGATTCCCTGTTAGTCGGATATCCCTACGGCATGTTTTTTTCTGAAATATCCAGATACTTCCCTTCATGGTCATCGAGGCTTGAATTTGTGTGGGCTTCAAGGTAAGGTGATCAAACCCAGGTGTTTTTCCTTAGCGATGCTTGGTTTCACCGCACTACAGTGTGTTCCAGTAGGTACTAGTAATGTTTTTCAAACCCAGGGGTTCTTAGTACTTTCCTTTAACAGGGGGTCTTCTACTTCCCTCGGAGATGAATCTACTTCTCTCTCAAATGGACGGTGATTCTCTGTTAGTCGGATATCCCTAGGAAATGTTCTCTTTGAAATGTCCAGATACTTCCTTTCATGAAGTTCGTGAATATTGATCCAACGGCCAAATCTGGGCGTGTTTGTGAAGACTTGCTCAAAATCGCAATTGATCTGCTTTTCTGCATCGCTGCGTAGAAAATGTCCAGATTCAGATACTTAATCCAATCCTCTTTGCTAGTGTGTCCTCGCCCCTGAGTTAGAACCCCACTGAAGCAGATGCTGATTTAACTGCTTACCTATGGCTGGTACGTTCGATGATGATATCTCAAGGCTGTCACCCTTTCAAAAAACAAAAGCAAAAAGAGAATGAAAAGAAGAAAGGCCACATGTGAAGCCAGCGGGACAGGCATCAAGGCACCGGCAGAGCACAGACGAGGCAGTCCACGCATCCAACACGGAGCAAAGCAGCGCATGACGTACTCACATCACGATTGAACCCCTCAGACTGTTGGTTCCCACCACCCACTCAGGCAGGTAGTCAGTCCGACGAACATCCGTCATCACCCACAGGGAACACAGACATCCCGAACCGAGCGGCCCCCATAAGAGTGCAGTAGGCACTCCAAACGAGGAACCACCGACTGTTTGGCACTACCAAAGGGTGCTCAATTGGGCACACAAAAAAATACTTCGAAAAAATCAGGGGCAGGACAGACAACAGAAGAAAGACTGACAGACATAAAACTGATTGTGTGTGTGTGTGTGTGTGTGTGTGTGTGTGTGTGTGTGTGTGTGTGTGTGTGTTAAAGCAAGTGTATGGCAGGCTGCTGTTCTGTAGTTGTGCAGCTAGTGCCCACACATCCCTCTGCTTAAAGCGTACCTACACCCTCTTAATCCCCATTTCAACATTGTGCTTGCACACAGCCAAGCACAAGGAGTCGGGATAGGCTACACTAAATCTGATGTAGAAGCCTCTGAACCAACATTCCTGTGAAACACAGTTCATCAATGAACGTCATCAGCACGATCTTGTACAGATATCAAGAGGGCATGGGGGATTCTTGGCATGTTGACCTGTGTTTATTTTCTGTACATAGACATTGAGGATCTACGGGAATGTGTGCTTGTATATTGGTTAGGAACTCTGCGGACCATACAGGGTTCAGCCTCCTGACGAGTCAGTGAAACTCTGAAGCGAAAGTCTGTCACAGCTCCCTGTTTCTTGTCCTGTTCTCCATTTCTGCCTAGGGTTCACCGGGCAGTCCTCTATGACTATATATAGGGTTCAACCATCTGACGAGTCCGTGAATTTGCGATGAAACGGTCTGTCACGGCCCCTCGTTTCTTATCCTTTTCACCCTCTCTGCATATGGTTCCTTGGGCAGTTCGTTGTGACTATGGACCTCGCTCCACAGCACAACATTCAAAATGTATCGAGAGCCGGTAATGGTCCCTGTACATTCAAAAAATTTCTCTCAGTCGAAATGAACCTGGCCCACCCATAGTCCTGATGCATGCAGAATGTTTAGTAGTGGAGCGAGCCCCTGTATGTTGTGTGTGTATACAGGCATATGTGAACAGAGCAAGGGCATGCTCGGCTGACGAATTCGTCCCAGATGATATATATGCCGATATTGAAAGATTATGGGATTTCTGACCGCTTGTACTGCATGTTGTGTGTGTGTGTGTGTGTGTGTGTGTGTGTGTGTGTGTGTGTGTGTGTGTGTGTGTACACTGTACAGGCATATATGAACGGAGCAAGAGCGTACTCTGCTGACGAATTCCTTAAGCAGGCATTTTGGCTTGCTGATGCACAGGCTATGCTGGCAAGCCACGCACAACCGCCTGAGCCCCTCTCGCAGTTCTCCGCTGCGGCAGTCGAACTAACAACAGATGTGCTTTGATTGGACTGACACATGTCAAATGTTTTGCTGAGGGGAAAAGGTGACAGCAGAACCAGGATGTCCTGATAAACATGGCTTTCCCTCAGCACCCTGCATCTGCTATTGATTGTCGATGCGTGCAGAAGAACAGAATTTGAAGACCTATGAGTGTACAGAGAGAGCCTATGTGCAGCAGACTTTTGTCCGCCTAATAAACGTGGAAGCTTTGATGTATGCGTCAGTACAGTTAGCATCATGCCGCCAAGTTAAGGTGCTGGGAAGTACAAGGAAAGAACCCGTTCAGGGTTTAGGGTTTACGGTGTAGGGTCTAGGTAGGGTTTGTATTTTGTTGTCATTTCATTTGGAAGTTGGACAGAATGGAATCGACATTTTAGTGTGGAATTGACATTTTATCTCAAGGTGTTTGCCGAGTTGAAAAAACCTCATTTTCAAAGTTGAAGAAGTACATAATTCTTAAGGGACGGGACTGCTCATCGCCTTAACGGATTCAGAGGATTTCGGTGTCCTCGACTGGTTTAGGGATGGGCATACACAGTACGGCCCTGTGTGGTGTGCATTTCTGCCCTGTATTTTCCAACTCTTATTGTTTTGGTGCATTTCTGCCCTGGAGATCTCTGGGTGGGTGTATTTCTGTCTTGTGGAACCCTGGTTTATTTATTGTTTTTTCTTATGCGGCTCTGTGTCGACCCTCCTCTTGTTTATGGACAGTGAGTTTGATTAAAGCGTGGACCCCATATATTTGTTCATGGGAGTAAAATGGACGCAATTGGCACTTTTTGTGACATACATTTCAGGAGTAAAATGGACGCAATTGGCACTTTTTGTGACATACATTTCAGGAGT